TGTGCTGGAGATAATATTACAGCGGGCCTCATGATGCAAGGGAGACCTTTTTCAACCAAAACACTATGGAAACCAGAAGAGAACGACACAGGCTGTTGGAGTTCATTAAGTGCATTAGTTACAGTATTGATTTCACATTCTTCTCTCGGAGAGGAAAGCGGTCGAGTCGTAAGCTGCCGCTGGGAAACAACTGGAGAATGTAAAATATAGACTGTGGCTTCTGCTTACTCTGAACCTCTCAGCTGTGGTTTTCCACACCAGGCTGCTTTGCTTAAACCTTTAGTCTCACAGTGTGCTTTCAACATTTTTATATTTGGCTCAACAGTCTGAATGAATTTCTGCTACACAATCAGAGAGGTCATAGACCTAGTGCCCTTGTGTTCAGTCTTTACAAAACTCCTCTACTCTGATGGAGCTTTTATTCTGTTTTCATCGGTTCCTCTTTTATTTGTTTTGCAGAGATCCATTGTGCTCAAAAAGAGAGGGCGTAAAAGAAAGAGAATAAACAGCAGCGTGACAACAGAAACCATCTCTGAGAGGACAGAGGTGCTGAACGAACCGTTCGACAACTCCGACGACGATGAGCGTCCGATGCCCCTGCTGGAGCGCACCTGCAGAGTGGGCGAGATGGAGGAAGAAGAAGAGGATGAAGAGGAGGATGAAGACGATGAAGAGGAGGAGGAGGAGGAGGAACAGGAGGACAAGATACCAATTACACCAATGAAACGCCGGAGAGGTCGCCCGAGGCTGGAGAAAAATGCACGAAGAGACAATCTTGAACACTGGAATGAAGGTATTGACATCTCATGAATGTAGTTTTATAGCAGACTGTTTTGCTCTTGCAGCTTCATTAAAGTGTTTGATATTCTTTTCTTTTCAACCTGTAGGAGCTGACATCCTCTATAAGAGACCCAGCAGACCCCGTCCAGTGAAACGGAAGAAGGGCTGGCCGAAAGGAGTGAAACGCGGCCCTCCTAAGTGGAGACTTAAGAACGAGCGGAAGATGGGCTTCAAGCTGAACCTCTACACCCCCCCTGAAACGCCGATGGAGGCAGAGCAGCACCATATCCACACTGAAGAGGCCAAAGAGGAGCCAGACGAGGATGTGGTCAGCGCAGACGAGGGCAGGACGGCAGGCAGAGGCTCGGCCAGTCCAGATGTTACGATGGAGCGGCTCCTCTCCGAGCCCCCGAGCCCTGCTGACCACGGCTCTCAGAAGTCGAGCTCCCCCGAAGGATCGCCTGTCGCTTCTCTTGCGTGCTCACCCTGCGCCTCGCCCGCCGCCTTGTCCCCTACGCCTGAGGACAGAGCAGACTCCCCAGAACCACCTGAGGACGACCAGCAGGAGAGTGACCCCGGGCAGGACTCCCCATCAAAAGAGGTGGAACACAGAACATTGGAGCCTTCACTGGAGAACGCCAACGCAGAGGAGGATGAGGAGGACGAGCAGAGAACTGGGATGGAGGATCAGGATGCTGATGATGAGGACGACAGCCACAGCAAGCAGGCAGAACCTGAGAGCAGCAAAGCAGAGTTTGAAAGAGAGACTTTGAAAGAAACACCTGAGTGCACATCGCCTTTTTTAGATCAAAAAGAAGACAACGACTCTGAGCTGAGTCAGCAGGTTTCTACAGTACCTCGTAGTGAAGAGGAGCAAGCTACAGCTGCTGAGAGCATCCAGGAGGCGATGACAGAAGAGACAATAGCAACACCAGCGCCTGAAGCAGTAGCAGTCGCTTCAGTCGCAGCTGCAGACTCTGATAACCCTGTGGAGTCTGAGTCAGAGGAAGAGAGCACGTCCAGTCCCTGTCCCGATCGGCCCCCTCCTCAGCCCACAGAGAGGCCGGCGCTCAGCCCCGTGCTGCGACAGGACCCCCCCATCTGCACCGAGATTGACTCAGAGACGGCTCAAGCTGTTCAGTCCCTGACGCAGGAGACAGAGAGGGAGAATGTGTTCCAGGGCTGTGTGGAGAGCCAGGAGCGCTGCAGGCCCCTGCAGACCTACACCCACGTGGCACAAAGCCCCCAGCTCACCTCGCTGGATGACTGCCCCCAGTCAGACCACAGCAGCCCCCTCTCCTCTGCCCAATCCCATCCCAGCCAGTCGGTACGCTCCGTCAACAGCCCGGCGGTGTCCATCCTGGAGAGCGGCTACACTCAGATCAGCCCGGACCACAGCGCCATCTCTGTGCCGTCGCTGCACAACATGGAGACCAGCCCCATGATGGACGTGCCGTCGGTGTCGGACCACTCGCAGCAGGTGGTGGACAGCGGCTTCAGCGATCTGGGCAGCATCGAGAGCACCACGGAGAACTACGAGAACCCCAGCAGCTACGACTCCACCATGGGGGGCAGCATCTGCGGGGCGGGCCCCTCCCAGAACAGCTGCTCCTACGGCAGCATCCCCCCCAGCGGCCTGGCCCAGAGCAGCTGCGCCGTGAGCCAGCAAATGGCTGCGGTCAACCCCGGCAGCTGCGGCATGATTCAGCAGAACAGCCTGAGCTCGCCGCCGCACTGCAACGTGAAGTCGCCGCAGGGCTGCGTGGTGGTGGAGCGGCCCCCCAGCAACAGCCAACACAGCCAACACAGCCAACACAGTCAACACAGCCAGCGCAGCCAACACAGCTCCCACAGCAGGCAAGGCCCCCACAATCAACACAGCCAACACAATCAGCTCGGTCCACACAATCAGCTTAGCCAGCACAGTCAACACAATCCCCACAACCAGCATAGTCACCACCACAATCACCACCTGCAGCACAATCAGCTCAGCCAGCACAATCAGCACGCGCAGCACAGCCTTCACAATCAACACAGTCAGCACAGCCAGCAGCAGCCCATGGCGCAGTGTGCCATCCCCACCAACTTCACCACCACCATGCAGCTGGCCGACATCCCCGAATCCGGAAACCCCAATTTCACCCTCTACGAGCGGATCAACCACCAGGGGGAGTACGGGGGCGGTCACTACTCCCAGTCGTCCGGCCTCAGCCTGGCCAAGCTGCAGCAGTTCACCAACACCTTCATCGAGCACCCCCACTCGCTGCCTTTCAACCACTCGGCCTCACACCCCATCACATCGTATGCAAACACCACGTCGCAGCACTCCAGCCTGGTGTCCCTGTCCCAGACCCCACATCGAGTCCCCAACCCCCAGGTGCAGGCCACCATGACCCCGCCCCCGAACCTCAGCAGCCCGCCGCCCATGATGCTGCAGCGCAATATGGGCATCCCCCCCTCGCAGAGGATCCAGCCCCAAATGGCCTCCAAGAGTCACATCTCGGCACGCTCCAAGTCCGCCCCGCTGTCCCACCACCAGCAGCAGCAGATGTACGCGCGACCCCCCCAGAGCGTGGCCATGCAGGCACCCTCCAGGACGCTGGCCGCCATGCCGCGTATGAACATGAGCGTGAACATCATGCCGGCGCCGGGCTACAACGTCAACTCCATGAACATGCCCTCGCTCAACGCCATGAACAGTTACGGCATGAGCCAGCCCATGATGAACAGCAGCTACCATGGCAACCATGCCTATATGAACCAGTCACCCCAGTACTCTATGCAGATGGGCATGATGGGAACACAGCCATACCCCCAGCAGCCCATGCAGGCTCCACCACATGGCAACATGGTGTACACTCCAGCTGGTCACCATAGTTACATGAACACAGGCATGCCCAAGCAGTCGCTGAAAGGGCCTTTCATCAGGCGGTAACTCTCCGCTGGCCCTCCTCGCGTGCATTTTGCTGTTCAGAGATGCACTGATTTGGCCTTTTTCTTTTTTTTGTGTCTTTTTTTTTATCGTTTATGACTTAAAAACCAGCAGCAGCACTTGGAAAGAATGCAAAAAATGTCGTCAATGAGTAACCCTTGAAGCTAATGTTAAAAAAAAGTATTTTTGTTTCTCCAGATGGGAAGCCTTACATCATTACGATGAGAATATATTTAATTAGTGTTAGTGTCTCTGATGTGTCTTTAGAGCAGGCGGTTCAGAGCTCAGCGGTAGAGATTTCATCAGTGGTCTTGCAGTCGTGTAGCAGCCTCAAATGAAGCCATTTAATGTGCCTGCTACAAGTGGAGTTAGTGGCTGTTTGAACCTGTTCAGTGTACCTGTCTAACAGTGCTGACAATTAGTTTGTACTATACTCATGCCTTTGTATATTTAAATTATTGTACTTATTTTGTAAAGTGACAACTAGCATGCTTCAGTCTCTGTTAGTGACAGTGCATTGAGTAGTACTGTACAAGTGTTGTGCTTAATAGCAAGCCATTTGAAAGATATCTGGCCTTTATTAGGTTTCCCTCCACAGGGATAAGATGAAACTATATTTTGTTAATTCTAATAATGTAAAAAAAATGTAAACTTAGTCCTGTTTTCTGTTCGGTTTGAGAGGTTTTATTGCTATGTATGTATAATTCTGAAGTCTTTTGTAACAGATCTCCTTGAGGCAGCTTTCTGTTTAATAAAGCAGACTGATTTCTGTCAAAAATAACAAAGCATATCTCAGTGTTTGTACCCTGAACTATTCTAAAACATTTCAAAATGTCCAGAAGTGTGGCAGGATTTAAAAGAACTAAATTATTATAACGATGGATAACAATAAAGAAAATATAAATGTAGTCCAAAGTTGATATTTTACATAATGCCTTTTAAAGCTACGTTTTCATTCCATCTGTAGATTTGTTTTCTATCTTTATAAAATGTTGGATTTATATTTTACCGAAGTGTAGAAGAATAGAGCCTGTGAATAGACCAAACTAAGCTAATGGCTTGCATGTAAAACGCAACTTGTACTTGTGTTTTTGTTTATATTGCTCTTTTGTAGCCTTTGTACCTGTACAGAGTTGCTGGTGAGAACAGGGGGGAAATACCTGGCTATGTGCACACAAATCGGACAGAATGACATTCTTGTATTTATGACTTTTCTCCTTTTGTCAGTCACTTAAAATGCTGTACATTTTAGCATAAGAATAAATTATGATTGACCATGTACTTGATTGTTCTCCTTTAATGTGAAACATTTACTAGCTGGAGGCGTTTCAGAATGAAGAGGCAATGACAGATCCACGCAGCTGTTCTCCCTGCAGAAAAGTATGTATACAATAGAAAGAAAAATATTAAATAGAAAAAATATGACGGGAAGGTGAGCTTGACCGCACTGAAACCTGACAACAGGAGTCATTCACATCTAAATTGTAAAATCCCAGAAAAGTTTAGAAAATTCTAAATATTGTTGCAACAACAGGGAGGCCTTGCATACCCATGCACATCAAGTATTTAATTTGTAAACCTCAAGATTACAATACATATGGTTGCTACAACTTTACATTGAATATGCTAAAATGCTGTGTCATTTACATGGAAAGCATTCAGAGATCAATCTCTCAACATGACTCGTAATTTAGTAACTTGGATTTGTAACATGACTCGAGACTTTTACACTTGTTTTTAGCTTAATTTGTCTCCCATAACTTAAAGTTGACTTGGACTATTCTTCATTACATTAGAAACTCGACTTGAGACCCGACTCTTTACAAATGACTTGAAAGTCAACTTGGACTTGAGGCCTAAATTGGAATAAAATGACTTGAGCCTAGACTTGAATTTGTCACTCGTGGCTCGACCTGAGGCTGAACTCGCCCCATGAGTCCTACGCAGGTTTCTGCTATTCCTATTTCTCCAGGAGCTGCATGTCCAGCTCCCTCAGCTGTTTCAGGAAGCCCCAGTTGGGGATGATCCTCCTGCGGCTCTTCACGTGCTCGATTGCCTCCACCACAGTCATGTTCTCACAGATCATGAGGTAGGCGAGGAAAAGTGTGGCGGAGCGACTCCTTCCCATCACACAGTGCACCAGCAGCTGATCTGGACATAGGGGAGTCACACAGTCAGGTAATAGCTACTGTACATTGCTCATTTTTTATTCGATTTGTGCAATTTATAGGGATGGTTCAATCACCCCTCTACTTGGTGTTTGACTAAGTGCGTTAATGGCCAGGTATCTATGAATGGGTTTTTTTGTCACCATCTTTAATTTGAGGAATATAAAACGTTTCAGAAACCGCGTCAATGTGGATTAATGTTCCCTGTGAAAACTAACAAAAGCAAAGACTATAACCCCTAGAAATCAGTAGGCCTACATGTGCATACAGTTCCTGAAAAATATAGGCATGTCAACTTTTCAAATGTAGTTTTGTACCTATTCCAAAAAAAAGAAAGTTGTGGTGGTTGATCTCACAACCCTGATACCAAGAACCAAAATGTTTTGCCATCAACTATCTATAAAAAGTCAAATTGTAATTCCCCTACTCCTACGTTAGCGGATGTTTAGGCTACAGAACACCATGTGATTTCTTAATCTGGCTGGAATGACCCTTTAACTATGTGTTTTCTTACTCTGAGGATTGCTCAATGTCTCTTCTATGAACCGAGCTGCAGAGAAGAAATACTGGCTGAGGTTAAAGGTTGTGACGTCTTCTGCTACCACGCCATAGTACACCATGTCCATGTCACCATAGTAACCAGCTCCAGTGTCCACATTGTTCCACGTCCCCTCTGCTGCGTTCAAGATGTGCGTAATCCCCAACCTCTTCAAATTACACTTGTCCTTTGCAGTCTGCCTGTGAAAAGTATGCATGAATATTATTTTAATCCTTCATTATTTTATTCAGTTTAGTCATTTAATACTTTTTGACTTACTCGTCCCCGATATAGACATTAGGCCAGACCTCGTTGACATGAGTGTAAGCAACACTCCCACGGTTTAGGATTTTCTCCAGCTCATAGCCCCCAGGTGTGACATATTCATCCACTGGACTGGATTCCTGCTCTGCCTTTGTAGCATTTATCTTGATGCCAGTCTTTGACTTGTGAGAAGCCATTTTCTCGCTGTGTCTTCCTTTCACACATGATTTATCAGCTTAGGGGGGAAAAGAAATAACACGCTTGCTTTTTTTCCCCCCCTCCTGCGACTTTATTCATGAAAAAATACAGTTTTGTTTTTCCACATGCATCTCCAACAACACTCACCGAGAGATTGAAGCTCGGAGATGTTGTTTTCATCATTCTGGCAGCTTGTTGTGAAGCTCTCCTTTAAGGCAGAACATGGTGAGGTTTAATTCTGGCAGGCTCAAGTGAGGGCACAGATTGTATAACCGCTCTGTGACGAGCATCAAATGCAGAGGATATTTTTAGGGCTGTGATGTGGCGGGCCCCTGACCTTAGCTGCCACGTTCCCTGCCTGTGGGGAAAACTTCCACCAAGCAAGTCCCTGCCATCCACTTCTAAACACATAACTTTAATCCCTGCTGCTGGCAGGAAGCTGTGCGTACCCAAACTTTGCACTTGCCAAAGGATACCCATATTCACTGGAGTGAACAGGGCTCTCTGGGCTTTTCCTCAGCCGTATGAGCGACTCCTTGAAATTGTCTCTTTTAGCCTTTTGCATATCTATCAGAGGCTGGAAGAAAACGTGTAAGCGCTGCCTCACAACAGCCGTTAAGGATGTTCTGCATTTTATGGAGCCTCTCCGGGGCCTAAAGAAAACTGAAATGCATCAGACAGTTAGACAGATGAGGTTTTTCACAGGATGTCACATGTCTTTGATTCCACGTTATATGATATGCATGGTCCATTCACTGATCTTAATGTGAGCCCCCAAAGTGAGAGTGTGATGATGACTGTATCGCAGAATGGCTGGATGAAGCTGCTAACATGTCAGACAGAGTTTTCACACCATCAGAGTCCTTTATTTTTCCCTCATATCTTCATACTCTGCCATCATTCATTCTGACAGTGAAATCATTAAACCTGTGATATCCAATTCCTTTTATTTTGACAGCATCTCTCTCTTTTTCCCAGTGTGCTCTGGAGAGCATCTCTTATTAAGATGGTTTCAGCGTTTCATCTCTTTTCAAAGTCTGACCTGAATCTGTATACACACTCAGAACCATGCTGGCAGATTTTTATCATCTTGTATCAAGCCTCTTTAGACACCACCGTTTTAACTGTACGACGCCAGATTGCAGCGGTTAAGACACAGTATTTTGAGAGTTGTGGATCTATAAGTGGAGCATTGTTTATTAATAGGCACACACTGTCTTTGAGTTGTTCAACAACAGTAGGAGTTTTGGCAGTTGTGCTCCATTTGTGTTAAAAGCCTCTGTGATATTGATGTGCTCCATGTGACCATGTTGGTGTTTCAGCTGCTTTTGGTTTATCTGATGTATTTCTCCTGACACTGAAGACAGCCAGAGGTTTTAAATAATTTGTGAACAATATGAAAACATTTTTTTCTTTCTGTATCAACATGTAATTATAAACGAGTTTATTTCTCCATTGCTTGACATTTTGTTGTTTTCCTCTGCAGAGCCAAGGAAGAGTCCAAGTGACGGAGCTGATTCAGAAATCCGACATTAGGCAGGATGTTCCTGTGCCTCCGAACAGCCTCCACAGCCTCCACCAGGCTGAGTCTCTCTCTGATCAGGAGGTAGGCCAGCGCTAAGGTCGCAGAGCGGCTGATTCCTCGAGCACAATGGACGAGCACCTTACCTGCAAGAGACAAGAGCACCTTAAATATTCTACATAACATACATACAGAATGTGATTCATTATAAGGGACGTTTTAGCTTTTGTTTATATTTGTATTTTCATAGTGCAGGCCAGGGGTGTAACAAGAAAACAAGCTATTGAGTTAGAAGGTTGAGAAAAACTGACTATAGCCTACGCTTGTAAAATATAAAAAATATTAGACATTTTTTGAAGTTGCTTAATTTATAGGATTTAAAAACTTTTTTCTTACAGATTTTGGTGCAAAAATGCAAAACAATAATTTCCTGAAATACAATAGGTGATAGTTATTTAATTAAAGTTAATACATAAAAAAATGCCTGGCTGAGAATGTCTTCATGATTATAAAAGAGAGTTGCCAATCTCCTCAATTAGTCACAAACGTACGTTTTTGGACACCTTTACATGAACTTAAGTTAGATATCCATGAGGACTTTCACGTACACGTTCTCGGGCAGCAGCTGAGTCATTACATTTTTTTGCTCACAATTTCTGAATTTTTGGTTAATAATTAATAGGATGTATTTGGCGTTACAATCAGATTTCCAGCTTGAAGAAGCATCTTGTTACATTTTATACCACAACATTTGGTGCAGATTTACACCCCTCACGTAATGTGCAAATCTGTTTCCTGTGGCTCAAATGGTAGGCCTACCTCTCTGACTCAGAGCTCCATGAATGAAATCAGCCGTTTCTGTGAAGAATGGGCTCAAGTCAAAATCTTTACAGTCTGTTGCTTCCACTCCATGATACTGTATGTTGGTGTCTTTGTAGAAACATGGCCCCGTGTCAATGTGCTGGGGGCCATCTGCAGCATTCACCACGTGTGTAATTCCCAGATCCACTAACCGGGTTTTATGCTGCGCTGTAGCCCTGTTAAACAACACAAGACATGATACGGGGAATGCAGCCTTTAGAGATTTTTCTGGCCAGCTCTCTGAGCGTATGTTTGCAAATGCATCACTGGTGACTCAAATGTACAGATTTTATATTTGTCCCATGAGTTAGCCAAATACATGCTTGTTTGCAGCAACACTTTCACAATCAGATCACCATATTGCAGCGGGGCCCTGAAGTGAGAATGTCACTTACGCGTCTCCGATGTAGAGGTTGGGCCAAACCTCGTTGACAGCTCCGGTGGGGCGTCTGTTCTTCAGCAGAAGGAAGAGCAGATCGCAGGTGGGCGGTGTCTGATACTCCGACTCCTCCTCTGGGCTCATATCTGCGTATTTCACTTGAGTGTTGTCGTATAATTATCACAAATGATATTCAGCTCAACACTTGCAAAACAGTTGGATAACTTCCCCAAATACTTGATGTTCCTGGATGGAGAATTTAAGAAGTTCTTTCTGCTGTTCTGCTAGTTTTTCTTTCCTGCAGACATTTGGAAAGGAACCACAGTAAACTCTGACCTTATTGGAGCAGCTCGCTCTGTTTTCCATCTGAGCAGAGTATCAGTGTTGTTTAGAGGCTGAGCCCCGCTGGAGCGTGACAGCTGAAGATGCCAGAGTCTGGGCAGGAGCAGTGTGGACTATTTATTCCTCAGATGGCTGTGACAGAAGCCATGCTGCTTGTGTTGTGACAACTTTAACCACAGAACCACAGCAGTGATTACAGTTGTAATAGTGTCAGGGATTCAAAACATGTTGAGGAAGATGCCACGTTGAGTCAGTTCATACCACATCAACTTGTTCCTTATTTCAGATTATTTTAAGAATAATGCTGGTGTTATTTTTATAATTTTATTTATGGATTTAATGAATTCATCCACTGCCTAATTATCCAAAAACTATTAAAAACATTTGGTGACATATTTCCTTATTATAATGGACATGGAGACTGAAGTTGTGCTGAAACCCCTCAAAGAATGCCTTTTCTATTTCTGGACAGTAGCTCCGAGTTAGGCAAACATCACTGACCATTATGTTTACCGCAGATTAGATTGCCATTTGTCATAGAATTATTGATGTTAACATTTCCAATTTTTCTCAGATCTTTTTGAGAATTGTTTGACTTTTTCTGAGAGTTAATGAGAAACACATTCATGTTTGTGTACAGATTAAACAAATGAGATATGATGTGTTAATTAGTGAGCTGTAGAGGGGCCAGGCGTGCTGTTTCCCCCTGCTTCCGGTCTTTATGCTAAGCTAAACTCTCCTGGCTCTAGCTTAGCATATTTAGCACACAGAAAGAAAAGTGTTCCATCTTCTCATATATCTCCCAGCATGAAAGCTCAAGAGAATATTGAAGGTCTCTTATCCACAGAGTCTCAAATGTTGAACATGTCTTCTTTGATGACAGTTGATCTCAAGTCCTTTCAGTAGCTGCTCTTTCCTTAGACCTGTTGAATTTATTAAGAAGTAGTATGTCAACGTTTGTAATTTCACAGCCCTTTTATGTGCTTTTAGGATTATATTAAAGCTGTGTCGACACAGACAATATTCTTTTTTAGAATCACCTCACTTTTTCTTTTAGTTACTAGTTCTCATTACAAGTGAAGGACTTTATTATTTTGTAAGTAACTTTAATTTCCTCACAAAAAAATGGAAATCGTTTTACAAAAAACTTGGTTTATATTCATATCTTCATTGTACTTCGAACAAAAAAATGTCATTCAAATGGATGGATGGATGGATTTGCCCTCAAGTCCGCCCGTAGGCACTGGAGCTCCTCACTGGTCCCTGGTAGTGCAGCTTTTTGTCCAGCTCTCGAAGCTGCTCCAGAAAACCATTGTTCGGTGAGATGTGCCTGTTGGCGCTGACAGCTTTGATGGCGTCCACCAACGTCATGTTCTCGTGGATAATCAGGTATGCCAGGACCAAGGTGGACGAGCGGCTCAGACCCATCGCACAGTGGACAAACACTTTACCTGCATGGAAACCAAAAAACTGAGCATTAATTCCTGTTGATCAGACCACAGTTCATCCTGTCTACCAGCTCCATGTCTGTACTAACAACCATGCAATGACTGGATTATTGTGGTGAACTTTATTCTAACTGTCTAATTTGTAACTCCTTTGTGGATTAAAAACCATGCACATCACAGAGAGCAGTACTTCTAACTCCCGACTAAAAGTTTTCAACAATGTTGCAACAAATATTTCTACACACAGTAATCCCTGCTTCCTTATCGGGGTTGAGGATTAGGGCGCATAGGAGCGCGTAATTGAACTGTCTTGGCGTCTGTGTATTTCTTCCGGGGATTACTGTAGGGCCCGCCACACACTGGAGCCCCCGATCAGCCAGCATGTGAATGAGGAGGCCCCATCTTATTACTGTCATGTCAGATACCGACTTCGCTTTGCATAACAGGCCACAAACATAATTGTGTAATTTCCATGTCCAATAAAAGTGTTGCTTACAAATTACCAGGGCAATCCATTTAAAACCAATTTTCCTGGCTAAGGTCTGAGTTTATGAGAAGATTACCGTGGGGGAAAGATATTAGCTTGATATTATGTTTAGTGTTTGATTTGCATTTTAATGACTAACACAACTGGGGGCTGCTGTAATGGGAATTGACTGATAAATGTTTCTGTACTTTGTCTTGCAGAAAAAGATGTCTCCCCCAAGTCCAGTGTTAAAATGATTAGAGATATCTCGAGTCTAGTGAATGCTTCTCACCTGTAGGCGAGCTCAAAGCGTTCTTGATAAAATTGGCCGCTGGGTAGAAGAAGGGACTCAAGTCAAAGTATGGCATGTCAAAAGCGACCACTCCGTGATAAGTAATTTTGGTGTCTCTGTAGAAGCTGTGGCCCGTGTTCACGTTAAACTTCCCATCAGCAGCGTTAAGAACATGGGTGATGTGGTGAGCCAGGAGTTTCCTCTTGTCTTTGGCTGCATACCTAAGGGGGAAAAGCACAATTGTCCGTCAGTGTAGATAAGGGAAATGAGGGTTTATCATTTCAAAGAGCATCCCTTGGACCTAAATTGGAAGATTGTATTTTTCCTGTTCTTTCAAACCACAAAGTAAATTTCCCCTCCATTATATTTGGGGTGACAGAAAAACCTGAGACACATGTCATTTGCTAGAAATACTTCCACGACTAATTTGTGTAAAGTAAGCAACTTCAGTAATATTAAGCATGTAGTCTAAAGTTTATAAGACCGTGTTAACATGCATTGGGTCATCAAGGCAACAGTTTAGCCAATATGTTAAACACAGCTAGTGTGAAAGCATCACATTGGTAAATGCTTACAATGGGATCGTTTATTTACACATGGGGTCAAAACCTGGCAAACCTTCAGTAGCTACTATCTTATATGAAAAATGAGACATTTATCATACCTTCTTATAGGGGACGGCAGAAACATCCAATAAAAACACCATAGCGTAAAGGGCCATTGTTCATTATTAATGTTAAACGAGTGGCATTTCCATTGCAGTCCATTGTTAATAATAAATATTGATGCTGCTCTTCCACTCAAATGTTATTTTTTAATTGTTTTAGAGTTTTGAAACCCTTTCATAGTTAGAAACAATTTGTATAACCATTTTTAGTATGCTTAGTCTCACATGTCTCCAATATATATCCTGGGCTGAACTTTATCCAGATGGCTGCTGGTCCCTGTCTTTGTCCACATCAGTCTCTGGAGCTCTGTTACCGGGGGGGTCTCATACCTGTCGTCTGCCCCCTCAGGGCAGCTGAAGCCTCTGGGCATGTCTGGATAGTTCTGCTTTTACAACCTGTTGTATAGAAGTGTCACATACAACGTTCTGATTGAGTTTAACTTGGAGTTAAAGCAGCTATTTGTTAACGCAACATATCTGGCCGGTGCTGGAAAGCATAATAACAAGCTGAAATGTCATCAAAAGGCTCGGAAAGTATGCTTTACTCACCTAAAGTCTAAAGAAATGCGGTTAGAGTTTCAGACAACATCTGATTGTCTTTGAAGGCTTAATAACACCACTAATAGGCTTTATTGAAGGGCGGTAAGACTGAAAGAGAAATACAATGGGGGAATTACAGTGAATAGAACATCAGGCAAACAGGCTTATCACCTTTAAATATAGAATATAATAATGCCAATAAATGCACTCCACAGCCGCAAAGGACCAAAAGAACACATAATTGTAGGATGACCTTATGCCGCTCTCATTATTTTATCTACAGTTCAGTAGCACTTATGTGGGCTTATTTACCTCAAGAGATAGAGAAAATTGGCATTCAAGGCCTATAAACAGCTTTTCATTTCCTGCAGGCAAGTCCAACCTGTGCATTTACAATTTACACACTGGGCTTATTGGATTTATGCATACTGTATACATTAGCATCCATTTAGTTAGCTGTGTGATTCTGCTCAAGGCTGAGGACGTACAGCGACGTGTATGCATTCTAATAGTAAAGAAACCCATGGCAGCTTAGCTTCCGATTAGCATTCTGCTGGTGTGTGGAGACGTAATGTGGCTCTCAGGGTTTGGAAGCTTATTGTCGTGCCCACAGGGATGAGGCGCTGAGACCAAATCTGTTTCAGTGACCTTTTGTAAAGCTGCCATCACATATGGACTCAAACTTCACAATAGCTGTATCTTTTTCTCTGCATGTGCACAGTGTGTCACGTTTTTTGCAAGAAAAGCTGCATCTTACCCAGCTTGTACTCCATGCATATGAGTGAGTGAGTGAGTGTTAAAGGCAGAGCAAAGTGTGTTTTTGCACAAATACAACATGTGCCCGGAGTACCTCGAGGCTCTTCTTTCTCCTCATTGATCTATAAGTACAACCCTTCCCTCCCTCCCACAGTCAGGGCAGAGAACTGATTTCCCTGGTGCACATGTTGAGCTGCAGCGCTGCTTTCATAGCCTCCCCCTTAGGCTAACCTGTCCTTCTTGCTCTACTTCTGTGTAATTAAAGATGCTATGTATGGGAAAGTGCCCACGGTTAACATGGAGGGCAAATAAAAATGGCTTTTTACCTCCTGCGGGCCTCTTCTTGGTGGTTTTTATGAATTACACTTCCCTCTTTAGCCTTTTGGATGTGCCTCGTCTGGATTTGTGAGCAAATTAATAAAAGAAGAAAGTGTAATAATCCATCAGGAAATGCCGTACAGTACATCCTCATTTATTAAAGTGCTTCATAAATATGTATACCTTCATACAAAGGTATAGACTAGTCTAAATCAATACATTTGAATACATATTCCTTTTAAGGACTTCTATCTGCAACACATTTGTAACAACATATTGTTAGCGTACACTTGCCTTGGCTGGAAACGCTGCTCTCCAATGTCTCTCGGCAAGAGCAACATGTAGGTCGACAGCACAACTGTCTGCGTTTTCCTTGGTAATGTACCCTGCAACATTTTTATGCTATTTTAACATCTGAATCTCAGCCCAAAAATAATTCTGGCATCATCTTCTGCATTCCTTTAAGGTTATCCGAGCTACCAACACAAGAGGGAGGATAGGACATTGCTTTTATAACCGCAAGAGAATTAGATCATATGCTGAGTTTACAGTGAAATGTGTTTAAATCAACATATGGACATTTGGTAAAGTCAGGATTTTCTCTTTTACTTTAAATATGGACATTTAGTGAATAAAACAGAAACAAATATTAAAGGTTGACACTTAGAACAACACTCAGTCTTGTCTGAAGCACCAAAGAATTACACAAAAGTTGAAAAATGAAAATAAAATACATTAATTAAAAAAGATGTATGATGTAAGGTTCATTCTTTGCAAAAAATCCTAACAGTATGGTCTACATTTACTTGTACCCACATAGAATATCCATAGCTAAAACATATATATTGGAATTAAATGTGCAACTCAGCAACACAACGATGCCGTATATGTGTGTAGTATGTGTGTGGTATTTTGAAGTTTAGAGATAATTGGAGGTAGCAATCACTGCTATAAAGCAGGTGCAGGGTGTACCTTTTTGTAAGTGAGTTTTCCAATGTTTCTAAGGATTGGTTCATGGAGATTCAAAGGATTTGAAACCTTTTGATGTGCAGTGATGATCAGCTCAAATAGCTTGATGAATACACAAAGTAATATTATACAGTGAACAATGAGAAGTTGGTCTGTAGACTGATTCAATTTCGAGTTTGAATGTTGAATTGCAGAACAATGAGTCGTTTACAGTGTTTACAAAATAACTCTGCTTTGTAAAACATTTCCCATAAGACATTTGGTCCATTCTGCCGTAACACAAAGTGAAGTGCTGAAGAAAAAGATCTTACAAGAATGAGAGGTAACTGAATGACATAATATAGTCACAAAGAATCCTTATCATTAGCATGAATTTGTCTTTGTGTATTTTCGCTTTGCCTTACATTACGACCAGTGTGTAATAGATAGAGAAAATAGAACATAATTCGTAATTACATTTACAAAAAGTGTATAAACAGCTAAAATGATAACAAATGTTGTGTTTTCATTAGCATCAGCCCTTCATACTGTATCAACACAGCTAGTGTTCCCCGTCACAGAGTCTGCCATGTTGCACCGCCATGTTTCTATAAAAGCCCAGAACTAAGCTGTGGCTCTAGAGTGGGCCGTTCACGTGGAAGGGTGAGTGGAAGATATTTCAAATAACGCTCTATATTTCACTAAATCCTACACACTGGTCAATTAATTTTTCAACTGTCATTTTGTTAAGACATTCTGTATTTGTAAATAAAACTTTTTAAAAAACAATAAAAATAGAAAGTCCTTTACCATGGTAGCAGTACCTTGAGAAGCTAATGCAGCTAATTGAGACACATTGTACTCACTCCCTTCACTGACATTAAGCATGTTAATATGTGCCCATGTAAACACTTCGGGCAGAGTATTGTAGTCAGGTGTAGTTCAATGTTATGTTTGCAGATTTCCCAGGTGACATGCCAACAGGCTATATCACTGTTAATACAGTTAAAACAAATTTCATGACAATCCATATATTTCAGTCTGAAATCAAATCAGTCAGGCATCCCTATCCCTAGGCACCGGGCTGCTTCTGTGGGGCTGAAAGTGTAAACTCTTGTTGATTACAGGATCTGACATGTTTTCTCCTTTCTTGTCAGCTGAAGATCGAGATCCAACAGCAAAGCCAGGAAATTCCTGTTGGGGTAGATGGCTCTCTTTTGGATCAATTTCTGCAAAGCTCGCTTGAGCGGGAGTTGATGGTAGATCATGAGGTACGCTAACACCAAGGTCGATGACCTGCTCATTCCCATGATGCAGTGCACCAGAACTTTCCCTGAAGAACAGACAAGATGAAGGGAGAGGGAGTGTGTAGAAGACGGATTAGAGAAAGGCCTCAGTCTTATTAATATCATACATGACTGCCCGTCTCAAGCTGTGGCCTTTCTTTTTTTCCTGCTTTGAGCTAAAAATAGTGCCTACAATTCATTCTTCAATGTTCATTTAAGGTCCCTTTGCAGGCCGGGCCCGACTGTCTCTTTAATCCCAACTTGTCCTCTGCCTGATAGCTTATTTGAAAGGAGCCATGGTCACATTATAGACTTAAATTCTGCAAGGTAAGACCCTTATTACTACTGCTGGCTGAAAATACATTTACATTCCTTTACAAGATGTGTTCCATTGTGGTGACATTGAAGGGACGGCATGATGGGAGAACTTGAGTGGTGGGTTTATACTGGGTTTAGGGAGGGAAATTAGACATGCAAAAATAAAATACTATTCAGTATTTTTGAAATGTTAAAGAAATACCATTCACTGTGCAATATAAAAACAATTATCGTGAACAAAGAAGAGTCTTACCATCATGTGTCTTCAGCGCTTTATGAATGAAATCAGCAGCAGGGTTGAAGTAAACATCCAGATCAAAGTGCGTAGAGTCATCTGCTGGAATGCCACAATACACAAAGTCGTTGCCATAAAAGCTTTGGTTCCCTACGCTGCCTCGCTTGGAGTGAGCAGCGTTTAATACATGAGTAATACCTAATTTCTGCAAGGAAGTCTTGTTTTGGGCTACTGCCCTAACAACACAAAGAGACAGAGAGAGGTTCAAGACAGATGTGAATGCTAAGCTTCACAGCACAATGTTTTTTAACTCAATCATTTGCAGGAGTTATGTAAAAGATCATGGATGTTTAAAATGACAACTTACAGGTTTCACTACTCATTAAGTTTGAAATAAAATGTATACTTACACATTCCCTATGTAGATGTTCGGCCAGACTTCATCAACTTGACTAAGATGCAGTTTGCATGAGTCCAAAACCTTCTGCAGATCCTTCACACTAAGATATTCTTCTCTCTTGCCTTTCAAGTTTGACATGTTAAGTTCAATTCCCAAATCTTGTATTGATAACTGGTCCAAATGTTTGTTGTTTCAAAGCAGTTCCCGTCAGCTCTGGCTCGGTATGATCTGTACGAGCAGGTGTTTATCTGCTGTCACTGGACAGTTACCCAATTTAGTGCTTAACCTAGCGTGTGGGCTTACTCGTACAGAGGGCAGCACAACAAACAGAGCAGTCCGAGTTCAGCTTTTCACACCGTTGTGGGACTCTAATTTAATAAGGCTCAAAGAGAGATGAATCATTCCATAAAGCAGTGATAATTGGATGCAATTATGGACAAAATGTTTAAGTGCATTGTTTATACAGGATGGCAGGAATTCCACTTGAATGCTGCATTTATGGAACAGATATACTGCAACAGCTTGATGCAGCTACTGCTCTGACATAAATATCTTGTGAGAGCAAATTGGCTGAAGAGGAAAAAAATTAAGCTTTGCCGCTGGCTACACATGACTTCAAACAGCCCTCACAAAGCTTCTCTGTTAACCCTCCTATTATGTTGCAGGTCAATTTCACTCATTCCAGCTTCTACATTTAAGAAAAACATAATTAACCTCCATGAAATATAATGACCTCTTTTCATTCAGGGTCATGAACTGTATGTAGAATGTAAATTGATGTGTTGTGGAAAGTCTGCTGATGTATACAGAATCAGTCAATAAATGTCTCCGGGTCTTTTTGACCTGGAGATAGTTATTGATTGATTATTCAACATGCTACATCTGCTTATTGATGCATCAGGGGAGTGTGTGGTCGGACCATATCCCACCTAATATTCTAGTATTAGGAAAATGCAGGATTCTGATGAGATCAAGATGCAGATCACTGTATGTTCTCAGAAGACATATTGAGTATAAAAGGTTTTTCAGCATTTGACTCTATTACATAAAATTGGAATAACAAATCCCAAGAAATAACCAGTCAACCACTGGAAACACAAGACAGAAGTTGAGAGGATAATGAAACTGAACAATCAGGCAAATGTATGTTTTAGATGTAGTAACAGCTAATTACATTGCATTATAAACTCAACGTTTGAATGAACAGACAACACAAACGTAGAGAAAGTCCATTTTTATGAATATAGAACAAAGGTTAAATTAGTCAGTCAGGCCTTATGTTATGTCTTAAAATGAATTTTGCCCAAGGTGAATGAGATGAATACACCGATCTCTGATTATAATATGAGTCAATAACGTGTGGACAAGCAGCATGATTCGCATTAAACGCAGCACCAGGGGCAAAAGATTTGAGCCATATTCTTGAAACAAACTGACCGAGGTCGACGTACAGTATCTCCCTCTACTGGCAGAAGTGCAATTCTTTATTTGTCTTGAGGAAAACAAGTGTTTGAGTCGCTGTAATTTAGAAAAAACTATTTGTTTTTGCAGTACAAAGGATTGCTCATGATGATTTGCGTGTTTTCATATCCAAAGCACGAAGCTGTTTGAGGAATCCTGTGTTTGGAAAAATCCATCTGTGCTCTTTGACCTTATTGATGGCCTCTAGCAGGGTGTAATTCTGGTGGATCATAAGGTAGGCCAGGACGAGGGAGGCCGACCTGCTCACTCCAACTGCACAGTGGACAAAAACCCGAGCTGTGGAGAAAGAAAAAACACAAGACAATAAACCTTAAGCACAAACTGATACTAGAGTATAGTGACTTGTAGAGAGGCCTGAGATAAAACTGACTGACAAGAAGCAACATGATATTTACCACCAGCTGTGTCAAGTGCACTCTGAATATACTCAGCAGAGGGAAAGAAATAGTGAGATAGGTCAAAGGATGGTGAGTCATCTGCAGGCACTCCATAATATTCCACAGAGGAGCCATAGAAGTTATGACTCCCCTGACAGTGCATCTTCCCATGAGCTGCATTCAGAACGTGAGTGATTCCCAGCTTCCACAGACTGTAGCGATCATTGGCCACTGACCTGTGGACAGAGGAAACAGGGATTATATCAAGAAACAAAACAAGCATCACAAAACTCTAGAATTACTTGTGTTTTGGAATAGGAATATTTAAACTTACATGTCACCAATGAACAGGTTAGGCCAAACTTCATCCACATGATTGCCAAACCTTTTTCCTCCAAATAAAACCTTCACCAAGTCTTTCACAGACGAAGTGGCAGGGGAAACTGCATTACTTTCCTGAACATTACTCACAGTTGACTGCATAACAACATACTATTCTCTACCAATTTGTATGATTTATTCTCCAGACATTTATTTTCAGTTAAGACGTTACTATGCTGCTACTGACAAGGACAGGTGTGTGTCCGATGTCCCTGATCTAAATTTGAATCAGTGACCCATCATCTAAATCTAAATGGTAGGAAACCTTGGACCTTTATATCTCTAATATTGAATGTGTGGTACTTCGTGGCATTTAATTGCACAAAGACTTAATTTCTTGACATCATAACTATAACTCCCCTGCAAAATAAACACAATAAAGTAGCTTATTTTCACCAGAGGGTGTCACTGTTGGTCAGCATGAGCCAAACCCTGTGTAGCTGATTTTACGTGCGCAGCTACACTGGACATTACCGACGTGTGTCAACAGTGCTGTGCTAAACAGCGCGAAGCCGGGCCGAAATGATTTCCAACAAGCCCATGTTTTTGGAGCAAAGGCTACTAGGTTTTATTCAGATTCTTGTTAGATGCCATTTAGCTAGCTAGCTGAATAAATAAAGTATCGTCTTCTGTCACATCTCAGTCCGGGTGAGTGAGCGCATTGATTAAGCTAGCTAATATAGCTTGCTAGCTAACGTTAGCTAGTGCTGAATTAGCCTGTTTGGGATAATTTGTTGTCATGAATAAAAAGGTCTGTTTGGTTGTATGCCTACCTCGGGTATGTTTGCTGTAACTTTCACGGTCAACCACCAGCAGTTCGGCTAGTTATCTGACTAGATACTGACAGAGGTTATTAGAATTAGCTCCTGACCGCACCTTATAAATAGCCAGTGATGTGGGTTAGTGCAGGTGGGTGTCTTTCTGGACAAAGATACTGTCTACGTGTTACTGCTTTTGCACGGATGCGCAGTTCCATCATATCATGAAACCCTTAAATAAGACGAGCTAACTTTTTTAATATATATATATTAATCTAGGCAATACTGGAACAAACTTCAACAGGGTGTTTCTACTGACACCAAGGTTAAGCTTAAACTAAAATGACTCCTTTTAGTCTTTATTCCATAGTAATAATAAAAGGATTTGGAACAATGGGTTACAAGTAATTTCTTAACTAGTACAAGTCAATATCTGGCCATTAGGAGTAGTCTGCTCCTTCACCTAGATTCTAGGGTGTGTGCTAAATTCTTGTCAGTGTTTGCCTTAATTATTTGCACACTTGTCCAAAGTTGCGATATGCTAATAATGATTAATTTTAAACCTGACATAGAGATTTGTTTCAAAGTTAAGCTGTGTTCTGTCTATGTGGCATGGTTTGTTAGGAGTATTTATTGCTGATTCAGAAGTAAGGAGTGCCTAAGTAGCTTCTCCTTAAGATTCCTTTGTGTGTGGGTGAGGAAGTCAATGAGAAACTGGTATTACCTAAGGGATAGCTCAGTTGTTTGATTTAAAATTATGATATTGTTTTTTTCTCCAGCCTTCAGAGTGAGGAGGCAATGAACCAACTGAGTGTCCGTCGCTGGACGCCAAAACACGTCGCCAAGTGGCTGAAAGAAGAGGGATTCTGTGACTATGTGGACCTGCTGTGCAACAAGCACCGGCTGGACGGCACCAGTCTGCTCGCCCTCAGCGAGTACGACCTCCGCTCACCACCTCTGGAGCTCAAAGTGCTGGGGGACATCAAGCGGCTGATGGTGTCCATACGCAAACTACAGAAACAGAACATTGAAGTGTTGGAGGAGCTGGGTCTTCCCTTTGATGGCCACTCTCCCACAGGGTCTGGAGGTAGTTTGGACTGGCTGTGTAACGGTGACCCAACCAGAGACTGTGACAGCACTGACACAGCACCTGTGGGAGAGGAGTATCACCAGTACACTAATGGAAAGTACAAGCAGCAGCCAAGGCGCCTGGATCCTGAGTACTGGAAGACGGCGCTAAGCTCCATTTATGTGGTGTTCGTGTTTGGGTTCACATCCTTTGTCATGGTTATAGTACATGAGAGGGTGCCTGACATGCGCACATACCCTCCACTGCCAGATATTTTCCTAGACAGGTGGGTGTTTGACTACTAAGAGGTTTTACCTGACTTGGTGCAATGAGAAGCCATGAAAAAAAAAAGATTGGTCAGCTGTGAAATGCCATAGAGAAAGTGAATCAAATGCATATAAATCAGGATATCACAGCAGATGGTGGACATTATAATTGCCCTACTTCCTTGAAGCAAGTTTCTATAATTGTCCTCACATATTCCTCAGGGGTTTACTTTGGTGCAAAAAGAACATTTGAGTGTTTTTAAAAGTGACCTACTTTACAGTGTGACCCATTGTTTATGAACAGCTTTAAGCGTTTGAAGTTTATTAAGGGGGAACTGATTTCAGGGAAATGTCTTTTGGCATTATAAAACACGTTAAAGGCAGTTGCAGCTTAAGAGTACTTAAATATTTCAACCTTAACCATAGTATTTTTACTTTTTTCTTTTTTACAGTGTGCCTAGAATACCTTGGGCCTTTGCCATGGCTGAAGCATGTGGGGTGATCCTGTGTAATGTCTGGTTGCTGGTTCTGCTGCTCCATAAACACAGGTAGAGTACTTTTATATCCGCGCACATTTTACACCACCACAGTGATGTTCCTTTCGGATGCCTAAAGTGTGTCCCTTAAATCAATGCTATGGAAGCTAACTATGTCACACGGCTTTTAGGTCCATCCTCTTGCGGCGCATGTGCAGCCTCATGGGAACGGTGTTCATGCTGCGCTGCATCACCATGTTTGTCACTTCCCTGTCTGTGCCAGGACAGCACCTGCAATGCTCAGGAAAGGTAATACATAATGCATGTTCTGTCTACTCTTATGTAAAATGCTGCGTCTTTGAAAGCTCACTGCACTGATATTTTCCCTTTTCTCCATCTAGATGTATGGTGACACGTGGGCCAAACTGCAGCGAGCTGTGGCAATCTGGAGCGGATTTGGGATGACCCTGACAGGCGTGCATACATGTGGTGACTACATGTTCAGCGGGCACACTGTGGTCATCACTCTGCTCAACTTCTTTGTCACAGAGTGTGAGTAGCTTTTAAGTCCAAAGTACTTTGAACTTCAGAAGTCCTCTAAACTGTCAACATTTTTTAAATGGACACTGATAACAGATATTAACTCACAATAACTTAACTGGATTCATTAAAGACCAAAGTGAAGTCTTAGGTCATTTTAAAGCTCTAGAGGAGATGTGTGTCTGTTACTTATTGGGTTACGAATACTTTTAACACCTAAAAAGTATTGCGTTAAAATATGGCTTTATAGTTTTTATTGGATGTCTGAATTAACGGAAAGTCTAAATTGAAGGCTTGATGTTTTTAAAGCTGAAATTCTAGACAATTTGCAGTTTTTTATCCTGGCTTAAAAATATCTAAATATATATAAGCTGATATGAAAATATGAGCTGTTAAAAACTGTCACATCAGAAGGTTTAAGTACTAAATCATGAAGAAGAAACATTGTAACCATATTTGGGAACATTGCAACCTTTAGTTGCCGTCCAGTGTCCTTCACTGGTATTATAACTAGCCTTTCTCAGTCTTACCTGGTCAGAAATAATCTGTCTACATAGGACATGATAGATTTGTGGATAACGTAGTAAGACTCCAAACAGCAACATAACAATGTATCTTAAACCGTTCTTTTTTCTAATTTCTCATACAGACACTCCCCGAAGCTGGAACTTTATTCACACACTGTCATGGGTCTTAAATCTCTTTGGCATCTTCTTCATCTTGGCTGCACACGAACACTACTCCATCGACGTGTTCATAGCGTTCTACATCACTACCAGACTCTTCCTGTACTACCACACTCTGGCCAACACCCGGGCCTACCAGCAGAGTCGAAGAGCTCGCATCTGGTTCCCCATGTTCTCCTTCTTTGAGTGCAACGTCAACGGGCCCGTCCCCAACGAGTACTGTTGGCCCTTCACTAGACCTACTGTGATTCGGAAGTTTATTGGAAAATGAGCTGGTGCAGCGGTTCTGTCAGACACTTCTTAGCCTTTGCTGTTTAGTCTGCTTTGTCAAGTTGCCAACTGAGGCGGTGTGTGATGTCTTCATCAACAAAGACTACTGTTGTGATCCTGTTAGCACCGAGGCCTGATGGGATACACTGAGCCATACCTTCTTATGTTCTACTAGGATTTCTCTTCTAACCTTCTTCTACTTCTCTGTCACCTTTTTAAGTCAGATCAAACTCACATCTGACAGAATTTCTTAAAAGCCCCATCAAAACTCAGCTTTTTTTTTTATGGTGAACACAGAGAGGATGTGTCTAATGTATTAGTTTCTTATTTCTCCTCTAAAGGGATGTCATTTTATGCATTTTTAAGTACTTCCCAACTTAAAGACTAACTCTTAAGCCTGTTATAGTATTTTGATAGCACATGATAAAAGGAAGCCGCATCAAGAAATTCTCAGGCATTCGTGTACCTAATCTTTCACAGCAGTAGGCCATTTTCTGCGCAATTTAAAATCCCTGATCATTTCAAGGTTAGGATCTTAACATTTTGTCTAACTTTATAATTAATCAAAACAAAACTATATGGACCACTGTTGAAGCAATATTCAGTAAGACATTACACTGTTGCTTTTTCCTGTATAGCAAAAATATTGTTCATCATTTTGAGAAACAGATGTTACATTATGTTGTTTGGAAGTCTTTGTCATTCCTTAAAATAATGCTTACATTTTCGATAATGTTACTAAGTGTTGACACTAATCCATGGCTTAATAAAAGATTCAGTTTGTTAAAAGTATGATAATTTCAGCCAAAATCATGGAATCAAAGATGTATTTCCAGTTGTCTTAAATATAATTCCAATTGCCAATTACCTTGAGTGTTATGATAGATTTCTCTGTGTAGAAATGTTGAATTTTTTTTTATGTGAGATAGTTGTATAGTGCTTTTTTAAATCATCATAAAGTGTAGATGATTAACATCCTTTACCTTAAAATGTAGTTCTTACAAATGATCCTCAAATTTGTATGTACCTGTTAATATTAATTTATTTCATTTTGTAACCGTCGATAGGTATTTTTATATTTCATATACAGTGTTACAGCAACATGCACATGGAGAAATAGGTTTACAGTTGCTCTTAACTATGTATTTATTTGAAACACAATGTGCTTTTTGAGTGTTATGTTGATTTAGATAGGCCTCTACATCTAATTGAGTGAAACCTGCCACTGTATTAAGAGACATGTTTTAATTGATGTGGTCATTACAGCATGTTAAAAACATTGTATTTCTCAATGGAGTTGACAGTCTATAACACATCCTTTCATTGAGGAGTGATGCTGCTCTGTTATAATGCTCACGCAAAGCCACAATACTAGTTTCATTTCACAGTCAGTCATTTCCATCATTAAAGAGTTAAAATCAAAGTCCATTTTCTTGTTTCTTTTATAATGAATGCAGTATACAAATATTGATAATGTGATTAGTCTTCAGCAGAGTTGAATAGATTGTTAAATTGCAGAAAGCTAATTTTGAATGTACATTTTATCCAACACAAAGCCCTAGATTTCTAGTGGACATATTGGAAGTCTTTGAAACAAGTTTAATAAAGGGGAGATAAATATTGTGTTAGTTTCAGGTAGGCCTGCAATTTTTTTTGTTTTACTTAATATGAATAGTGAAAAATGTTTAGTGTTAAAGCCAAAGCCTGAAGCCAAAGATGACGTCCCTCAAATGTTTCACTTTTTCCACAACTCTAATATATGTGTCAGGGTTCACAAATGTATGAAGCTGGAATCCGAGAATTTGGACAACAGGGTATAAGGTACCATTTCTCTTTTTGACAAAGACATGTTTTTCTGAAGTAGTCACTGTAATTGTTATTATTATTTTTTTTGTCCTGGTATAGCGATTTATTTTTCCTTTATAGTTCAAGAACAAAGAAAAGCAAGTAGTTCAAAAGCTAATTAGCGAATTGGTAACCATGGTGATTTAGAGGTCTTACACTTGCCGGTGTGCTGGTAAAATTACGTATGGCATGACAAATTACGTATTTTACAGTCGACAAGAATCATGATTGCTGTTGCCAAACAATGGAATAAATACTAAATCAACTGTCCGAAAATAATGAAATCTTCTTCTCTTTTCGATTTCAGACAGGCACAAGATAAACACCTATGCGGGTCCTTCGGCTCCGAGGTCAGCAGGTTGTTTGTTGCGGTGTCTCCTCCATATCGTCCTACACACACCGGCCGTTCCCTGCTGCTTTTCCCATTTCACAAGTTGATAGAAAAATCAGCGACAACAGTAATACTTGGTAAGTAATAGGCCGTATACTTACTGAGCTTCCTAATGTTGTAGTTTGTTTAAATATCGGCAACGTACTTATCAATCGTCCCATTTGCTAGCTAGAAAACGCCCCCTACCCCCCTCGTGTGTTGAAACTGCTTCAAAATACTTTAGCAGACACCAGTGTAATGTTTATTTTAATTATATTTGAAAGAAAACGAGAACCTCAATTTTCCCTGAAAATTTATTTCGGGCAAAGTGTCAGAATCATGTTATTGTGAATGTTACTCTGAAAACCGGTGCTTTACTATTTTTAACATATTTATGCAGAATTGTATTAGTAATGGTAAAGATACATTATATGGTGTTTTGCGCGGTATGCTGACACGCCTTTAGTCCTTACGTTACCGTCGTGTACCTGCTTACTGTAAGCAGACAGTTGCTAGCCACCGGCCTAACCTTGACAATGAAGAAGAGGACGTGATCATCTAAGAGTAATGGAGACCGTGGGTCAGGTGGGGCAGGTGTTTGGCATTGGCAGTGTAACTATTGAAAGTCCTTGGTAGAATTAGTTTTAGGTTAGACTGTTAGCAGACAATCACTCTATACTCAGCAGTCAGAGGACAGTTAGCTCACATCCTAGCCATTGCTCTTCTTAACCACAGGGTTGTACTAAGGGACCATTAATATATAACCTTTGTAGGGACACAAAACCATAGACTGAATATATAAAACCAATATTAATTTGTAATACTTTCTTGCTCATAATAGTGGATTTTATGCTAATGTTTTTTTTTATTGCTGATGATGTGTCATAAATTGGTTTTCATAACATAAATATTGTATTAGAAGGTCAATTCCGTTTATTTCAAAAGTTTTAATATCATGGGATTTGCTGACTCCAAATCCATACTATATATTATTACTACACGGGACACTTTCTTTTCAGATTTAGGTTTTTTTTCTGCATTTATATAAATATTGATAGGAAAAATAAGGAATAATAATTTAGAACTATTGGCTCCTTGCAATATATTCTGTCATGTGACACAATCTGTTAACGGTTTACAGATGCGGTTCTTCTGACATTTCTATACACATATGTATGAATACATGAGTACATTTGTGGTCCTTTTTCACCAATAACACCTTCTGAAATGTTTCTTTTTGTGATAGGCAAAATGGCAGTTCCTCCAACATATGCAGATCTTGGAAAATCAGCAAAGGACATTTTCAATAAGGGATATGGTAAGTGAAAGCAAGATAAAAGACCATTTCATACATTTATAGACCCTTAGAGGACAGGTCGGCCCAGTAAGTAGTTTCTCACTGTAATTTTTCTTTGCAGGTTTTGGACTGGTTAAGCTTGATGTGAAGACAAAGTCTACAAGTGGAGTGGTGAGTTTAACTGTTACTATTAATATACAATAATGCATAGCAGGTATTTTAAGCTGATTTGAGGTTATCACAGATATACCGTTATTAACGTAAATGTTGGCCTCTTAAGTATCACGAAAGTAGCGTTCAAAACTGCAAGAAATTAATTCAAGGTCATTGAGAAACATTATTTGTCTCTCAGAGAGCACTTTCAAGTCCTGATTCAGTACATATTTTGGTAATGGTGAAATATTTTAGAATAATTTTCATGTTGTGTGTTTCTGTTTAAACATTAATTTCAGCTGATATTAAAATCTCTGACAATATTTGTATTTGACTCGTACTGTTTTTACTCTCTTCAGTAGTAAATGACTGTCTGCAAGTAGGATTAATGCCCTCTTTGATTCACTTTAGGAGTTCAAAACGTCCGGCTCATCCAATGTAGACACCAGCAAGGTCACTGGAACCCTGGAAACCAAGTACAAGTGGGCTGAGTACGGGCTGACGTTCGCAGAGAAGTGGACCACAGAAAACACACTTGGCACTGAGATCTGTGTTGAGGATCAGGTACATTAAAAACTCTGCTATGTTGCTGATCATCCTACTAATGCAAAACCCCTGAAATGAATGAGACTGATGGACTTATCTCTTTTGTAGATCACCAAAGGACTGAAACTCACTTTTGACACTACATTTTCACCAAATACTGGGTAAGCTGTTATGTTTGTTGTGAAATCATGACGTACAATCATTGTGTAAAGAACAGCTTTTGTTCACTTCCTCACTTTTGTTTTTTAAATTATTTTTACAGCAAGAAAAGCGGCAAGGTCAAGACGGCTTACAAAAGGGAATACGTTAATGTTGGTGTTGATGTGGATCTGGATTTTGCTGGACCTACCATCCATGGATCTGGAGTGGCCGGCTACGAGGGCTGGCTGGCTGGCTACCAGATGACCTTTGACTCAGCCAAATCAAAGATGACCCAGAGTAACTTTTCTGTTGGTTACAAGACCGGAGACTTCCAGCTCCACACCAATGTGTAAGTAATTTTTTACAACAAATATTTGAACCAAGCGTAATGAATAACTTACAAATAGCTTTCATGTGTATTGATCATGAGGTTATTTGTGAGAGGAAAAGGTTTGAAAAAAATCCTGACATGCAACTGATGGTGCAATTTTCTGCTCTTTTTACCCCTCAGAAATGATGGTTCAGAGTTTGGTGGATCCATTTACCAGAAGGTTAACGACAACCTGGAGACTGCTGTGAATCTCGCCTGGACAGCAGGAAGCAACGGCACTCGCTTTGGAATTGCTGCAAAATACCAGTTAGACTCCAGTTCCTCCATATCTGTAAGTGTTGCCTTTTTATTCCCAAAGGAAGTTATTTCCCATAATTTTTGACAGCAGGGTGTCTCAGACATGTAAACAACAAAAGAAGCTTGATAGGACATTTTGTAAATGTACATATTTTTCATTTGTACTTTTGTTTGTTTGCATACATTTGAAGTACATCCGATATATCAAGTGCTATCTGAACACTCTTAATATTGGATAAGTGATTGTAATGCTTTCTCTCTAGGCTAAGGTGAATAATGCCAGCTTGGTGGGAATTGGATACACTCAGACCCTTCGGCCTGGTAAGGACCATCCCATTATACAATATAAAACACAATAGACCTCTTTTCAGTGAGTTAAAAATATCTATGCATTTCATTTTTCTGTCAGGTATGAAACTGATCCTCTCAGCACTCGTGGATGGGAAGAGCATCAATGCTGGTGGTCACAAAGTTGGTCTGGGCCTGGAGCTGGAGGCATGAGGACCTGCTCCGCCATTTTGAAGAAGAGAAATATCAGCAACAGATATTATAGTCGAAGCCAAAACTAAAAAGAAGCCCAGTTCTCTATCACTGTTAGAATGGAACCCTTTCCACCAGCCTCTTTTTTAATGTGGTTACACCTTACTAGTCATGTTTCAATTACATGTGTTTATCACTTACGCCTTCTGCCAATATATCCTCCATAGAGATAGGAAAACTCAACTCCACTAGGTGCATTATGTTCAGGTATGGTTTCAGAAAACAAAACTTTATTTTGCTGATGTGTGATGATGTAGAATGTATATCTGAGATGTTAATTTGCACAGTAGAATACATATTTATTCAAACTCGTTCTCCTCTGTTTTATTTGCACATTTTATTTATATTTTAGTAGTGCTGTTCTATCAGTTGGAAGTTTAACTCCCAACTAAATATGCTTATCAAAATCTCAGCCAATTTAGTGGCTGAGATCACTTTTCTCTAGAGGCTTAATTGTGCTGCTGTGTGATGAGTTTGAGACCTCTGCTACCTAAAGCTTCTTAGTTGCAAGACAATGCTAAATGGATTTTCTTTTCCTCAGTGTGGCTCGAGTGAAAGAATATCTGTGTGAATCTTCAACATTTCTTCCCATTTTGAGGACTGTGACACGAATCAGGAAGCTGTTTGTGTGTTGGCGTGTGTCTAACCTTTGCAATAAATTCCTGAAATCAACCTTCATTGCCTCCTGTTATTTGAAAATAATAGTGGTATATGGTATAAAAACATTAGTTTAACAATCACACTACTAAAACAAGTGGCATGTAGATTATTTATTGAAATACAAACGTAATTTAACTGAAATGCTGTCTCGTAATGTAACAGATTATTAAGCTATACAGATTATGAAGTAATACATGTGCCAGCTTCCACAACATGTCCCATAAAAAGGATATGCAGTGTTATAGAGGTAATGCCCACTACCTATGAATCATTGTATTCATCAGACATCTTTCTATAGTTTTATAGCTAGTGTGAGCCCATCTCCTATGGTTAGCATACTCAGGTTGATGCGTGCATCTCGGTGCAACTTCTTGTTTAGCTTGTCGATAGCCACAGTGTCTTGGTCGTCAGGAGATGGATTCACTACCTTTCCACCCCACAACACCTGCAGAAAAAATAAATAAAACAGGTTTAGAGGATTAGCGGTCTGCAAATATCCTACTCCAACTTAATGTCTTTGTGAAGGCCCTACATTGTCGATGGCGATGATGCCCCCTTTCCTCAACAGCAGCAGAGATTTTTCGTAGTAGTTCTCGTAGTTTACTTTGTCTGCATCGATGAAGGCAAAGTCAAATGTTTCAGCCTGGCCATCTGCCAAGAGATCATCTGAAAGAAATAAAAGAGAACATAAATTACACTTCGGGTTATTATTATCATTATAAATAATGTATTATCATTATAATGAAACTATAGGAAAAATATTATTGCTTACTGGCCAGGCATAATAATCATTAAGGATACTGGTTACTAAAGTAAGAAATATATAATTTATAATGCAAAAACTATTATAGGTAGGCTAAAGCAGGGGTTCCCAACCTTTATTGTGCCAAGGACCGGCAGATACATTAAAAAAAATGTGCAGACCGGTTGTCAATTTTAGCTGATTTTAATATTTACTCACCAGCAGGTGGCAACAGAGGCTAATTGTATTTAACAGCCTATTATGCATCCAAAACATATTAATAACGTTTAAAACCAGGAAACTATTCAAACAAAAAATTAGGACCGCTTTACAAATATTAATATAATATATAATATAATATAGCCTAATATAGGTGGCAAGTTGCAACAGTGGCATGTAACAGCCTGAACAAATAATAGAACAATATGCACCCAAAACATATTAACGTTTAAAACCAGGATACAATTAAAACAAATTAGGACCACTGTACACATATTGATATAACTGAAATGTCAGGGAGACCCCTGGGCTTGTTTGCCAGCATATATATAAAACAAATAAAGCGTGGCATATGGCTCCAGTATTAATAAAGTAAGGTTTTGGTATGTGTTTAATCTAATTTTAACAAATCGGATTCTTCAGAGTCGAGAGCACGTGTCTCTTTCAATGGCCACCGCCCGGCTTATCTCTCCACCTCGTGTTGTCCTCTCGTTGCGCCAAATTAGCGTCTGACAATACAAATACACCCCTTTGACCGTCCCCGTATGGTAATACACTCTATATAAAGCTTTGAGTCTGAAGTAAAATTCCTGTAACGCTGGTCCCCACAATCCGATAAAAAAAATAAACATTTTGCGAGGAAGTGAAGTCGCTTTACCGACGTCGTAGTCCTCCGCCGGAGACTCTTCACGTCTTGGTCGCGCATGTGTGGCGGAAGTGACACAAGGGTGACGTCCGACGGTGCAAAGTGTGTGTGTGTAGCTTGCCGGGCTAATATAAGGGGAATAAGAACAACATACCTTCCTTTACAGGCGTAGTGTTTCCGCGTACTTACACACACCATCCACGAAGACGAGTCGAGGCCGACACACACACATATCAAGCCACACAAACAAACACAGGTTGTTGCGTAAACAAAGTTTAAGGTACTGGGTCATTAAAATGTGTGTAGGACCGGTTGCGAGGTATCCATACACCCACAAAGGTTTTCTTCAATCAAATTAGAATAGAGATACATCACGAATTTACGACAGTCTCACGTCGGCCTTGCTGGCGGAGCATACT